TTAAAGGAAGTGCATATAAAGCAGTTCGAAACAAAGTTTTAAACTAGGTATGTGAAAGGGGTATCCTTTGTCAATAAAAGTATTCGGTAAACGAAAGGGGGGACCTTTTGAGCCAAAATTTGCATATAAAACGGTAGGGGGGTGGACCTCGAGGCGGAGCCTTCCCGTATAAAACTTTGTTGAGTTTCCCCCCTCCCCCCCCCCCCGGCACTCTAGTCTTTGGCCTTCTTTGGCTACGGAGTAGAAGTTAGTAGGTACTGATGGAAAATCGCTATTTGAAACTCCAAGGTGTTACACGGGCTTTGTTCTTGTTGTTAACAATATCTTAGTTTTAAAAAAAATTGAGCTCTTTCTGAATTGGATGAAGTTCAGAAAGGAAACTTGAACTCACAGAAAAAAAGAACAATAAGTTCAACACTTGTTGAATTCGTTCTTTAAAGCATCTGTTTGGTACTGGTTCGTGACTAATTTGTGTTTAAGATTTTCGAAGAAAATACTATCGGTCTTGACACACCTTCACTGTAGCGTGAGGGGCGCAATCTGTGCTTTGGGTAGTTCGCCCAGCATAACGACGGACAGAAAACGGCATCCAGACGAAATTTCCTCTGTTTAGCATCACTTTTTAACATAAGAACATTATTCAAGTGTTGAAATTGAAGTAACGACAATAAAACACTAAAATCACGGGGATACCATAATACAGTTAACTTTCGCCTCTATAAAAGACATACACTTCATTTAAAACAGAAACCCAGAGTTAAACCCTGCTCTGTCGAGATGGACACCCTGTAACACGGACATTAAGCTAAGTGCCGGTCAAGGGTGTCCAAAGACAGCTGCAAAGAGGTCTTCAAGAGGGGGTGAGTGGAAAAGGGTAGTGAGCCCCTGCCTTCTTTCTGCTTTCTCTCGCTCGTTTCTCGTTTGATCCCTTACTTTACGAAAAAAACAAAGAAAGCCGCCTTCTTGGCAGGCAGGCTATAAAACTGTTCCACCAAAGTGTCGTTTGTTAAAACCAGGAAGAAAAGTAGAGATGTTTGATAAGCTTATCGACATTGACGCGACATTCTTTAGAGTTTTAGACCGTTAAGTGTTCTCACAGCCTGGCTTCCACTAGCAACGTAGATACAAGTTCAAGTCGTGTTCAAGCATCAGAGTCATATGTCCAGGGACCGCACAGGGGGAGGGGCTGGAGATGCTTTCCCCCCCCCCCCACTTTTTGACAATAAATAAATAAAATTAAGTACAGTGGAACCTCGATATAACGAAGAGCCAAGGAACTGTCAAAATATGTTCTTTTTAACGAGGTTCGTTAGCTTATATCGAGATTCTTTTTCATATTGCTATATATTTTACTATTACTGGAGTTAAAAAATA